CTTAGCATTTTTGTTTTCCAGCTTTATCTCCCTTTCAGTACTTTCAGACAACATGGCGTAAAACACCGGTGAATGCTGGGTAAGGACAGCTTTGTTAACGTGAATTTTCTTATCTTCTACAACTAAAGTTACATCCGTTTCTGGAAAACCAATGTCGTCAACACTATCCATATTTCCGCCTCCGCTCTTACAGTATATGTGAACGTCTTGATGTTTGTTAAATGATTTTTCCTTAGATCAATTGATCTACATGCAATACAATCCAATAAATGCGTCCTGCCTGAATGAAGACCTACTTATGAGTAACTGATACAATCTCAACCTTTTTATTAAACATACAAGAATTACACAGCTGAACTCAACGAATAGATTTAAAAGATATTAATGTGCACTAGGTAAAAGTGCTAACGCACCACTTGTTATTATCATTTGTCTAATTAAACATTTGCCTAATCGGCACACTAGTACATCTAATATGGAATCTTGTCCGATACAGTGGAATTGCCAAATATTTTGGTGCCATGACAAGACCCTTAAGTTTTTAGTTAATTAAATGGGCTGCTTGCTCGAAAATCAATTTCCCAACTCCACTGTTCTGCCAAGTTGTGAAGATGTTGATTACCAAAGTAAAATTCAAGCAATCTCTTATATGATGAATTGAAAATCAAATAAAAAATTGCGATTGCTTATTACGTCACCTAAAAATCTTCCAGTGCCTAAGTATCTTGAAATTTCCGTGTGTCAATGCCGTTGGTATAGTTACGCATCTATAGAAAACTTGTTTATTTTTCTTAATTTATTTCTAAAAATTTTTACTAGAAGCAGAAATATTTCTATTTTTTTAATTTCCCTTAAGCAGCACTGTCTGCACTTTTAGGAGCAAGCGGCGCATATATAAGGTGTAAATTTTTTTTCAGTAACGAGCCCCGCGATGGTCTTTTACTTTGGTAACGTAGTCATATATTGAAAACATAAAAAGTAAAAATACTATTTTCTTTGATGGCGCGTTATCCATTTGGCTTGTATATATTACTACAAATATAACATTCTTTTAATGTGTATCCTTTTATGCAGCGTTAATGTATGTATGTTTTGGGTAAAATTAAATTTACTTCGAAATATACACTTGCTCCCATATTTTAACCAATCTATTTACCCGACGAAGCATAAAAATATCCTTGCTAGTGTTGATTTCTGGACGTTATCATCCTTAAAAGAAAGGAAGACAAGTGATTCAAGTTTTTCGAAATTGGATTCATTTACCAAATTCATCTTCTTCCACCAATATCCTTGTTACTGTTGATTTCTGGACGTATCATTCTTAAAAGATTGGGAAGAAAAGTGGTTTAAGTTTTTCGAAATTGGATCTACTTTGCGGCAAGTTCATTCACCAAATTCATCTTTGGGTCAGAAATGCAAATGGACAGAACTGAGTGGATTTTAATCTAGGGCAAAATTGTAAGCAAGTGTTAAAGGCGAAAATAATCTTGTATACAATATCTGTATATGACAAAAGTCTTTTTATCTAACTGTTATACTATGCTTGAAATTGGGATAAAAAAATCAAGAAAACTCCAAAAACATTCAAGCACTTTTTGTTGCGGTATCACTTTTAAAGTTCTTTCCAAATATTTTCCAGAAGATATGTTTCTAAATACATGTGAATACTTAGAAACAGCAGCGTTGTTTACCTAAATTTTCAGATCTTCCTCAATCAAAGTGACATTTGTTTTATGAACGACTAAAATGAACATGGGATTTGTAGGGATTATGAATTTAAATTGACCATGAAGCCATTTTTATTTTTTTTTTTACCAATTAGGCCTACCAACTACAAATTAAAACAATGGAAGAGTTTTATTTGCTTTCTTTTCTATCTTCCATTGCATGCTCACAAACAGGCATTTCTTCATGATATCGAATGAGTAGTATGCCTTCTTATAGGATATATGGTGAGATCAGGCAACACCTATTGTTTATAAATGAGTTATTTTCTATTAAAAATAATCGAATTCCTCAGAAAAAACATATAGTTTGGATTTTGTATAGGATTCTTCTATTTTCAATGTAAACAAGGAGTAGAAAGAAATTCATTGGTAGAGTTTCGTCACAAAATTTAAGCTTTTTAGGTCACCTGAGTAACTCATGTGACCTATTGCTATCCGTTTTCGTCCGTCGTCGTCCGTCGTGCGTCGTGCGTCGTGTGTTAACATTTGAACATTTTCAGCTTCTTCTCTAAAACCACTGAACCAATTTCAACGAAATTTGATATACAGCATCTATGGGTGAAGGGGAACAAAAATTGTGAATTTCATGGTCCCCGCCCCCCTGGGGCCTGAGGGGTGGGGCCAAAACCACTAAAATTAATGAAATCTTTAAAAATCTTCTTCTTTACTCCTGGACATCAAGCAGGCAAACTATTGGCATGAATGTAATGAGCATTGAGTCCTCTACCAAAATTGTGAAATTCATGGCCCCAGGGTCAGGGGTTCTAGTGCTAGGGCGGGGCTCTATAGATTATATAGTGAAAATGCATTATTTCTTTGAAAATCTTCTTCTCTGCTCCTGGGTATTAAATACACTAACTAAGCACATAGTTATGATGAGCAAGAGTGCCTCTTCCAGATTTGTGAATTTCATGGCCCCAGGGTCAGGGGTTCTGGTGTTAGGGCGGGGCTCTATAGATTATATAGTGAAAATGCATTATTTCTTTGAAAATCTTCTTCTCTGCTCCTGGATATTTAATAAACAAATTAAGCACATAGTTATGATGAGCAAGAGTGCCTCTTCCAGATTTGTGAATTTTATGGTCCCAGGGTCAGGGGTTCTGGTGTTAGGGCGGGGCTCTATAGATTATATAGTGAAAGCATAGTGAAAATGCATTATTTCTTTGAAAATCTTCTTCTCTGCTCCTGGGTATTAAATACACTAAATAAGCACATAGTTATGATGAGCAAAAGTGCCTCTTCCAAAATTGTTAATTTTATGGCCCCAGGGTCAGGGGTTCTGGTGTTGGGACGGGGCTCTATAGATAATATAGTGAGAATTCATTATTTCTTTGAAAATCTTCTTCTCTGCTCCTGGGTATTAAATACACTAACTAAGCACATAGTTATGATGAGCAAGAGTGCCTTTTCCAGATTTGTGAATTTTATGGCCCCAGGGTCAGGGGTTCTGGTGTTAGGGCGGGGCTCTATAGATTATATAGTGAAAATGCATTATTTCTTTGAAAATCTTCTTCTCTGCTCCTGGGTATTAAATACACTAAATAAGCACATAGTTATGATGAGCAAGAGTGCCTCTTCCAGATTTGTGAATTTTATGGCCCCAGGGTCAGGGGTTCTGGTGTTGGGGCGGGGCTCTATAGATAATATAGTGAGAATTCATTATTTCTTTGAAAATCTTCTTCTCTGCTCCTGGGTATTAAATACACTAAATAAGCACATAGTTATGATGAGCAAGAGTGCCTCTTCCAAAATTGTGAATTTTATGGCCCCAGGGTCAGGGGTTCTGGTGTTAGGGCGCGGCTCTATAGATTATATAGTGAAAATGCATTATTTCTTTGAAAATCTTCTTCTCTGCTCCTGGGTATTAGATTAACTAACTAAGCACATAGTTATGATGAGCAAGAGTGCCTCTTCCAAAATTGTGAATTTTATGGCCCCAGGGTCAGGGGTTCTGGTGTTAAGTTGGGGCTCTATTGATTATATAGTAAAAATACATTTATTCTTTGTAAATATTTTTCTTTGCTTCTGGGTTTTAAGCCAATGATCCAAGTATATATATATATTTATGATGAAGAAAGGTGCATCTAGCAAAGTGGTTTTTAATGCCCCCAGGGTTAAAGGGGGGGGGGGGTGGTTACATAGCCTGAAAATAAATTAATGCTTTGAAATCTGCTCTTTGGTATTAATCAACCATTTTATGATAAAATTTGCAAAATTTTGAAATATATGGCCCTGGGTCAGTGGTTCCTTTGGGGTGAGGTGCACAACTGGTTATAAAGTGGAAGTGCATTTTCTCTTTGTTACTCTGATCTACCTCTGGGTATTAAGTAAATAGAGTAAGCATGCTAAGTTAATAATTATGATAAGCAATGGTGCCTCTTTCAAAATTGTAAATTGTGAATTTCATGGCCTCCGGTTTAAACACGAACCAAATTTAATTGTTTGAAAGTTGTTACACAATACTCAGGTGACCTATAAGGCCCGTGGGCCTCTTGTTTGTTACTAATATTTGATAATACATGTATTGATAAAGTACCAGCGGTAGGGATTTCGTACTTGTTGCAGTGAAACAAAGATAAGAACAATATGAGCTGCAACTTTGATGTCGAAATTTTTTGTTGCAAATAACAATTTCAATGGCTGAAATAAATCGTTAATAAACTTCTGTTGTTCATATTTGCGATGGAAGATGTCGTCCTGTACAAAAAGGTTTTCTTATAGTAAACTGTACGAGTATACTGGAAAATATATCATAATAACATGTTTTAACAGCAAAAGAAATTCAAAAATGCAGCTTATATTGCTTTAAGCGAATTATTTTATTGAAAATTATCAAAGTAATATTAATTATACATTAAATGAAATTTACAAAACTTGATGAGTGATTTTGACTTGAAATACTGTAGAAGTACTTTTTTCCGCGTGGTATTAATTTACGCTACATGTATGTACGCGGTCACAAATTTTCCGCGGAAATTTGTCCAAGCGTACTTAATATAAATGTAAGGCTTATAGTGACAGTCTAGAAAATCCGCGTAATTTTCTACCCGCGAATTAAACAGAAATTGAGATTCCGCGGAATTATAACCCCGTGGAAAAAAGTACATCTACAGTATATTAAAATATTTTCATAACAAGAAACAAGAGATTATACATGTATTACTATATGCGTAAAAAATTCAAATCAAACATAAATGATCAATATAAGACTCAATTTTCAGAGAAATTCAAAAATTTATCGAATTTCTATATTCCCTAATTTTGGAATGAATAATGAATATTTATGAAATTATCAGAAAAACATTAAATTTTTAAAGTGATTTTGTAAAAATGTTTTCAAAACAAATCAACACATTAACATGAAGGCACTCTATGTGCTAATTAAAAAGAGCTATCATATATTGCAAACTTAAAGAGATCTCCCATTTTCGAAGTTAAATTCAAATTTATATTGCATATTGAAATTACCTGAAACAACATTAAAAAGTGTTTGTCAGAAAGCCCGGTTTATCGTTTTGATACCGACATTAATACGTGGTAAACCAATTTTTAAACATGTTAGAAGTATTATGCAGAAAACTCAATTATTCCTGATCGGATTTTTCTGACAACATAAGACTGTAATCTTCAGTAATTGGATCCCCACTGCTTCGTTTTCTTTTATACATCTCCAGAAACTTAACTCTTAGTTCTGCAATTTTATGCCGATGTTCAAGTCCTATATTCTTGAATTTCGTAGAAATACTTGTATCAGTCGTTTGTTTGTAAAGGTATTTTCTCCTTACGGCATCATAATCTCTTGTAATTATGTTTCCGTTTAGAAGATAATAGTCTACATGGGCACAAAACGTCATCGCAACATCCATTAACGTATGTAAGTCATATTTTTCGGCTGCTATGATGTAATCCAGTAGTGTTGTCACGGTCAGATTCGTTCCTGGTTTACACATGTCTACCATGAACTCTTCACAATCATCAACAAGAGATGACTGGTACTCATGTGCCAAAGGTAGTACTTGTAGAACATTGTGCTCTGTAAATTTAACAATAGTACGAATTACTTTTTTGTTGATTTATCATTAAATAAATGTGATCAATATCAAACATAAAATCTTTTTATGACAGCATGTTGTAATCAAAGTACTGAGACTGGTCAAAGGGTAAAAGATGTTGGTATCCCATGATAGGTCTTGTCAAAAGGATCACATACTTAAAGTATAAGAGTCCTAGCACCAATCGATCAGAAGTTATGGCCAAAGTAAAAAAAATGAATTTTGAAGTAAAAGTGTGTCAAATTACAAGTCAAGGTGAAGAGGTCAAATTTGGTGGTATCCAAAGGAAGGTCTTGTCACAAGGAATACACCTTTGAAATATGAAAGCCATATATAGTCCCATCCAGTTGAAAGTTATGGGCAAGGTTGAAGAGATATTTGCAGAGAAACAGACAAACAGTCAGATAGATCGACAAACGGACAAGGCGCAAACGATATACCCCCAAAATATCGTTTACGGGGGCATAAACATGAAATTGGAAAATTTTCTTTTCTTTCTGGGAGATAGTGAAGATTTTTTTCGGAATTCGGTCAATTTCTTTTTCCTTGAAATGTCCCAAAATTAAAAATCGATCTCACCTCTCCCTCTCTCATTCATTTGTTACCGGTCTCGGTAGATCAATTGGTAGAGCGCTCACTCCGTGATTTGGGTGTTGTGAGTTTGAATCTCGGCAGGGACTGAATTAAGTCGATAATAAATGGTGGTTAGCAACTGTTACGTTGCCATGCGTTCAGCACTTTGAAATGAAAGTTGTGGGTCCTTTGGACGATACCTTAAAAACCCATGGCCGGTGTCAATTAAGGCGTTCGCAAGATACAGAGTAAAGGTGTAAGGTGATGTCTTAATATAAGTAAAAATACCTCAAATGGAATGTAAAACAACATACAACATGTACAATTAATCATTGATTTTTCTAGAATAAAGTTAATGTAAGGGCGGCATACATGTAGATTGTACAAGTTTATGTCATTTAAATATTGAAACATATAAAACAACAACTTATGTTTCTTTATAAATTGATATTATAATTTAGCAGCCTTAGGGGTGCAAAATTCATCTCATCCTTCGTGTTAGGTGTATATTGTACTCCTCATGTGACTAATTATTCGTCATGACCTGATAAACATAATATCGGTAGAGAGCATGGTGTTTATCTAAATCATTGTAAAATTTTACCAACTTATTTTCCATGAGTAGTGTAAAAGTTGTCGAGGTTGTAATAAACACCAACCATGTACATGAAATACATGGAGATAACGAACAATGTCCGAGCTCAAAAGTTAATTAATGGAAGGATATGAAGATAACAAACAGTATTCAATCTCAAAGTCCATAAAACAATACAAAATAGGAAAACTGCAAACACGGACCTCCAAAACATCAGAGGTGGGATTAAGTGCCATGCAGGAGCGAGCATCTCCTGCCAACTGGTCACACCGGCCGTGTGCTCCTTGTTATTATCAGAAAATAACGGGAAAATGCGTCATCAATTCAGTGTACAAATAATGGACTAACAATTAATATAAAAAAGTCAGCATTTGACTCAGTGATAAATTGTATTTGCTGACCATTGAACTTACGAATTGGAAAAGATTACTTTAGACGAGATTGCTGATATTTTTGCTTCATCACTTTTTTTTGTCAATAAATTATCTCGTTTTAGAAATTATTCAAAAGTAGATCACGCTCCTGCGTTTCGAATCAACTGAGAGACATAAACTCCATACGAAGATGACAAAGGTATATTGCAGCATAGGTAAGTGAAGTTGACCATTGAAAAGTTGAAGTCTTCACGTTTATCATAAAGATTTTAGTTAGGTTACCATTACTGTCTTTCTCTAGTAAAATATCTAAATATGAAACAGATGATTCAGACCCTTTGGTATCTTTTTTTTTCAAATTCGCCTACATACGAGGGTTGATCCAAAAGTTCGTGGAATTTCTTAATATTTTATTTATTTTTCAGTGGCATTGGTTCAAAATTACAAATAAAAATAAAGACACTTGTGGAATATTTTAAATTTAAAAACATTTTAAATATCTTTGATAGTAACTTTATGGCAGTTGCCATAGAAACGGATGTTTGGAAATGCGGGGGAGACATTAACGCGTTTATTATCATTTAAATTCTTAATTCGTGAAATAAGAATTAAACCGCCCTATGTGGTATATAAAAGGAAAATTATGTCATTATTACGATTGCTTGATCTTTTATAAACCTTTGTGTGAGAGTTTTACTGATTTTACTGGATATTTAGTTTATAAGTTGATGATTTATTGCTCATCTTTAAGTTGTTAGTTAACGTCAAATTTTGGTCAAGTCACACGTTTTGTGAAAATCTCGAGATCACTCGATCTTAAACGCGTATATTATTGACATAGGCTGGGGAAAAATGCATTTAGTCACTGGTTTTCCAGTGGCATAAGAAATTTAAGAAAAATTGGAACTTCCATGGACATTGATAAAAGTTGTGGTCCCTTTTAAGAGGCTCTGTTTAAGTACGTATCCCCTAGACAAATTAAAAGCGTTAATGGACGTTGTCGGCTGCCGTTCTTATTTTGACATTGCTACTGAAATTGGAAATCATATGGAAAGATGGGTAGTATTTTGAAATATGAGTAAAAAATGAAGTTGGTGCGAGGGGATACCCAGGCTTTTCTTGAGAAAAAAAAATGGAGAAAAAGACAGCATTTTGTAGAATTACGTATTATAATTGGACATTTGGGCGAGATGCTTCTATAACGTGACGTGACATATCTAACTTGACGTTACGTCGAAGTCTCCCCCGGGTTTCCTAACTATCTATTTTCAGAAAGCTTGTGTGACCCTATTGGTGAGTGGAAAGTGGTGAAATTTTCCAATCTTGTTGCATTAGGACTCTATATTATGAATATGCCTGTTGTTTGCTTTCATCAAATCACGATAAAATTTTAGAAAGAAATTCCACGAAGTTTTGGATCAACCCTCGTATATCGTGCCGGCATAAGAATGGAAATAACAGAAGTGCGTTGCACGTTGAACCATAGAGAGCAAGGATAGGAAATTTTGTATGGCATAGCCTGTCCACTTTGTCAATAAATCATTATTGATGCAAAGAATGGGTGGACTTCACTGCCCAGGAAAAATGCTGTAAATTTAAAGTTTCATAATATGTTTTATTTCTTTCCGTCTTTTAAACCCCCGATATCTTAACCGTGTACATGTATTCATCGTTCAAATTTTAAATTATAACACTCTTTTCTAGGAAAACTTTTTAAAAAATCGGAGGCATGTGGGCCTAAGGCCGGCAGAGGATGTTCACTCCTCCATGGCACCTGATCCAACCTCTGATGTTTTGGAGGTCCTTATTTCCTCTGCTTCTGTTTTGTATTGTTTTATGGACTTTTTTTCTTGAGTACAGTTGGGTATCTCCATATGTTTCATATCAAAAGATGATCAGGGTCTCGCGCTTTCAATCCTCTGAATACATAGTCATCGCAATTGTTAGTCGGTTGTTCTTAAGATAACTGTAGCTGTAGAAGAGCCGACAAACGTGCGCTCATACTTATATTAGCCAAAATCATGTACAAAACAAACTTCTTGATTCCACTGCTACGACTGAATTAACCATGATTTTGACTTCGATTGACCTGTTGAATATTGCAATTCATCACGTAATGTTCACCTGCGACTGTATCGAGAAAACAGTTACATTTTATTCCTCATCTTGACCTCGATCTTAATCACGTGATGGAACGTGTTTGGTTGCCATTTTCAGAACTTAGAAAATTACTATAAAAATGTATGTTCTAACTTTGCCTGTCTCACATTTTCTTTAAGTTTCATTTTTACATTGCTATTATATACCATACACGTACTGGAGGGAGAGAGAGGGACATGTGGATAATGACGCCGATGGATAGCCACGGCTTACAAAGTCCGAAAACCACCCAGGTACATGTCGAATTTCGGACAGCGACACTCATGTAACGTTGCTTCTATTTTGATTTGTGGCAACAAGGCATTGTTTTGTACAAATGTTCTACTTTATATAATCAAATACTCTCAAAAAGATACCAAATAGGGCTTAAAATCCAGTGGCACCCATTTTTTGGAGTTCAGATTACAGTTTGGAAACACAATTCATGTGACTATAATAGTATGGAAGATGTCCTTTCTTTACCTGTGAGTTTATGTTTCATGTTTGGATAAAAACTTCGAAGAAATTCTACAACATCTTGGAACTTTTTGTCGTGAAGCGGTACCTCTTTTTGCTTACTTTCCTTAAAGTTACCAGAAAACATGGCTTTAAACACGGGTGAATGTTGAGAAAGGACAGCCTTACTGACGTGAATTTTTCGACCTTCCACAAGCAAGGTCACATCTGTTTCTGGAAATTCAAGATCTAATTGACCGTCAGCGCTACTATCATCCGTATTGATTTCTTTTTCAACTTCTTGCGACGATGTCATTTTTATTCTTGGTTTGTTACAACTAAACAAAAGAAAAGAATATTTAATTGATTTACATGTATATTATATCATGTATAAAGTATGTGTGTAACTTCGTATCATTCATCGAATGAGTGTGCAATAAATACATAGTTTTTAATTTTCTAAATAAATAAATTCATATTGCAAATTAATTAATCAAATGCATCAAAAGTTTAAAAAAAACTATATAATATATAATTTATAAAAATTCATTTGCATATCAATGAGTTTCCTTTCTTTTTCTATTTTAAACAAACTAGTTTGACTACTAGTACTTGTAGAGTTTGACTACTAGTACTTGTAGAAATTCTAAATTCTAATACTAATAGAAAAATAACTTGAATATTAAATTATAATATACAAATTATCCATAATCATTTTTTTAGCAAAAAATCACTTATTTTGAGACGCCACCACTAGCCAGAGGGCTAAAATGTCACAATAAATCAAAAAACCTATGTATAAACTATAGATAGTTAATTTTAAATAACTATATTTAACAAAAGTAAATTTTTGTAGGGTAGTTCAAATCACATGAGGCTTAATTATATTCAAATAACAGCAAAATATATATAGATATAAAATTTTCGGTAAAAACAAACATTAAACCTTTTACAGTGAAACGGAAATTGGTTGTTGTTAGTTTTGTATAAACGTTTGACCTATGTTTTTATATACATTCTTAAACACTAAAAAATATTAATTCTCAGATCATACAAGTAGTATGAAACTGCCTATGTACTGGGGCTGCACTGAGGTAACACATTTTGTGTTACAGGAACTCAGGGGACCTCTCTGGTCACGGAGTGGGTAAACTTTAGTTTGTTTCTTCTCTTACATACGGTCGTAAGACCTGAGTAAGGCAGACGGTTGCAGGGGATAAACTGCTTAGTGTTTCACAGTACGTAAGACCTGAATAAGGCAGGCACTTGGTTGTAAAGAGAGGTGGCATACAACAATTAGAGGTGGGGGAAGTGCCAAGATGCAGCAGTACTAGTGGAGTGGCAGGACTAGTAAAATTCATTGCGGGAGACACCCGTCGACCACAGTAAGTGATTGTCCAATCAAAAAAAACCTGTTGATTTATTGTATTGTATTTGTATATATTTTATTTGGTCAACAAAAACCTGAGTTAACAGATTAACGAACGAGTGACATGCCTTGGTGATACAAGACTCACATATCACCAACACCAAGCTCGGCTGCGTTGCACGTTACATTATTTGGTGGCAGTGGTGGGATTTTGTTAACCATGGATTCATCTAAGAAGGTGTCAAAAACTATAGAGCGGATGGAGAAACTCTTAGAAAATATGAGAATGTCAACCAGCGACGATGGTCAGACAAATGCGGCAAGCCAAGAGTCTGGATATGCGACACGCAGAACTGATAATCAACTGGCCGGTATGTCAGGAGATGTGTCATTTGACGAGTACGGCGCACGACCTAAAGTTAGATTTCCAGACGAAGGCAAACCAAGCTATACACCACGTGTTGGGTTTGACGACGTTGTGACAGGCCATCTGTTTGACACGCCAAAACCACAGAGACAGTCAATTGGGACGGACAACGCCAAGACAGGCCATATAATCAAGCCAGCTACGTACGGCGGAACCAGTTCCTTGCTTGACTACAAATCACATTTTGAGGCTTGCGCTGTTGTAAATGGCTGGACAGAGGATTAGAAGGGTCTTTACTTAGCTGTATCACTGCATGGCCAAGCACAATCAGTGTTAGGTGACTTGCCAAGCGATACTGGTCAGCACTATAAGACACTGTTGAGATCCCTTGAGGAGAGGTTCTCCCCTCCTATCCAAACAAATTTGTATCATGTTCAGCTAAAAGAAAGAAGACAAAGAGCATCTGAGTCCATACCAGAGTTAGGTCAGGCCATTAGATGACTCACCAATTTGGCCTACGCATCAGCACCTGGTGATGTGCGAGAAACTCTGGGTAAAGATGCATTCATAGATGCCTAGGGAGATGTCATAAATTGTCAGGCATAAAAAAATTTGTACATATGTAAATAAATTGTAAATAGTTAATCATATGCGGGACGCATATAATCTTGAGGGGAGGGTAATGAAACGGAAATGGTTGTTGTTTAGTTTCGTATAAACGTTAGACCTACATTTTTATATAAATTCTTAAACACTAAAAAATATTAATTCTCAGATCATACAAGTTGTATGAAACTGCCTATGTACTAGGGCTGCACTGAGGTAATACATGCTGTATTACAGGAACTCAGGGGACCTCTCTGCTGACGGAGTGGATAAACATTAGCTTGTTTCTTCTCTTACATACGGTCGTAAGACCTGAATAAGGCAGACGGTTGTAGGGGATGAAAAGCTAAGTGTTTCACAGTATACCAAAGCACGTAAGACCTGAATAAGGCAGTCACTTGGTTGTAGAGAGAGATGGCATACCACAAATAGAAGTGGGGGAAGTGCCAAGATGCAGCAGTACTAGTGGAGTTGCAGGACTAGTGAAATTCATTGCGGGAGACACCCGTCGACCACAGTTAGTGGTTGTCCAATCAAGAAGAAACCCATAGTATTTGTATATATTTGATTATAATCGTATTGGTAAAAAAAACCTGAGTTAACAGGTTAACGAACCTGAGTGTAACGCCTCGGTGATACAAGACATATCACCAATACCAAGCTCGGCCGCGTTGCAAGTTACAATACTTATTTAGGGCATTGTCGCTATTTATGCTTTGTCAGTCAATATTCTTTAGCATAAAAATATGTTTGTTAATATTTTTACTGAATTTGTTATTAGTCATATACTTCCTTCAAACTTAAATGCAGAATTAAGACAGAATTTCCTTATCAAATATCCGTAGCTAATAGAGACACAAAATTGTATTAACGTTTTTCGCCTTAAATTGAAAATTTTCATAATAATTTTACTATTACCTTCCTTGGAACGATGACTTTGATGAATATAAGAGCAAACTGTACAAGAAAATGGTTCTTAATTACAATTTTGGAGAGAAATTGCCAAATCAATGCCTTGCTGCATTATTTATACAATTTAGACTTTTTGTTGTTTCCTACACTGAAGAGCTATTTGAAAAGTGAAAGTAGAATCATGCGCTTCTTTTGTACTGCTGGTAGAGGAACAGAGGTTTTTGCTTGTCAAGAAGTGTGCAAAGAGTTTAATCTATGTAATAATTTGGTAATATATGTAATTATTTGGTAATAATTGTTTTTTAAGGATGTCTATCGATATCTAGTATAAGAAGAAGCATAAAAAGGCTGTAAAACGTTTGTTTATGTTGAAAAATTAAAAATTCACTTATTGAGCAGGTTGGGACCAATCGCCCAAAATGGGATATAATAGTCCGTTTGGGATATAATATCCCAAATGGGCTATAAATTTACAGTGCAAAAAATGAAAATTTTTATTTTGGTAATAGATATCATAAATCGATCCGCATCAAAACCACAGGTACTTGGGTCGTGGTTTATAAAAATTTATTATGTACCTAATTGATATGTAAAAAAAATACTTTTTTTTTTACATATCAGTAAGGTACATTATAAATATTTATAAACCACGACCCAAGTACCTGTGATCAAAACACTTAAAATGGAATAACTTTTGGTAAGCAAGTTTTTCTGAAACCCTATAGCTACCACTTGTTAGATTGATCCCCAAGAAGTTAAGGAACTTCTGAGGGATCAATTTCCTAAACAATGGGCATACAGGAAAATTTGTCAACCAAAAGTTATTCCTTTTTAAGTGTTGTCTGATATTTATAGCCAAAATAAAATTTTTCAATTTTTGCACTGTAAATTTATAGCCCATTTGGGATATTATATCCCAAACGCACTATTATATCCCATTTGGGCAATTGGTCCCAACCTGTTGAGATAAAATCCAGTAAGGTCAATATGTATACATATACATATATGTATATGGGTCGCTGTATAGTACACAGCTGTAAAGACTGTTTACAATGTCAACTATTATCAACATCCTTCATGATTTTATTTGTAAGAGATGTATCATTTTATGTACAGCTTCCCAAATCTGAAGGCAGAGTGTATTTTGAAGGCAATGTGAACCAAGTAGAGAAAATTCTTCAATTGAAGACTGTAGAGAGGGCATTTGCACTGGTCTTGCATGGAGACTCGAACAAATACAAAGGTACATCTTTCTATAAATTAATTCTCTTTTATGACTTTTCTTTTATTTCAAAATTATAGACCGATGTAGGTACTTAATTAGTCACTAGTTTCCTCAAAGTTAAATTACAAAGACTTATTTATATCAAAATTTACAAGAAATAAAAAAAGGAAAATTATGATATGATTAAAAGACAACAGATAAGGAATTGCTTTTCAGTTTATTCTCAATAAGAATTTATTCAAATTTTATTACAAGCAGATCTTGATAGAGCAACATTTTAAAACAATCTGAGGACAGATATCCTAAATGAAGATTCCTGGAAGAACGAAGACCTCAAAAGTGTAATAGAATACCTGAAATCCAGACAATCTAGCACTTTACAAAGGGAGGCAATTCCTGTAAATGGGGAAGGTCCTCCCAGCAAGAAAATCAAGCAGGAGAGGAAACTCAGCTTCAGAGTGTCTTGTAAATGTTCTGGTGTTCTGGGAAGAAAAGTCACTGCTCAGGTATTGCTGTGTGAATGTTAATAACATACAGTATAGTGGGTCATTTTAGTGGGGTGCTCATTTTGGCTTCTTTTGACGTTTTGATATTAGCCTGCAAAAATTTTAATCCCTGAAATATTCATTGCTCTTCTTAGTGACCTTTAAAATAAATTACGCCAAAATTATTGGCAAACCTTTGAGGAGACAAAATGCTAAAATTTTACACTGGCTAAGAAAACTCTCTATAAAGTAACACTGTGTAACTAGGGATAACATACTGTGGAATCATATATACAGTAAAACTCGGTTATAATGAAGTCACTGGGACTTATGAAATTACTTCACTATATCCGTAATTCATCATATCTGTATCAGGAATTTATATAGCTGGGGATCCAAGATAACTTCACTATATCCGTGAATTCCATACATGTTAACCTATTGTGATGAAAAATAGGGAGATTCAGACCTCAAAAGCGGTAGCATTGCGCGTGCGTTGTTTTACGCTTGGATTATCGATACATTTCATGTAATATACATGTATATAAGAAGACAGAAACACCTTAAGTTTGATATAAATTGTACAAATTCAAATATTTTCATGCTCATCATTCTGCTTGGATTGGCTGTTTAACTAAGCCTTTTGAAGAGTGATCTTTGCTGATATAGCCTAAAAAAAGTTCCTATCTTTCGTCATATAAATCAGATTTCCCGCGATGATCGAAAACGAAAGTAGAGATATGCCACATGTCTTGCCAAGGTCAATCGAGTGATTTCTTTTGACTTTATCGATAAAATTGGGAGCTCCTGTGCTTTTATAGACGACGTCAAACGTTTTCATCTAATTCTTAAAAGCTGTATCTCCTTTTTCATGGCAGTGATGTTGACTTAATTTATCGTAACCAAAGAAATCACTGGTAATCTTGTGCTGTTGTCGTTGTCAAATTCGTGCTTGAAATCTTTGTACATATCGGTACAATAAAAGCGTTTGTATGCCTCCGAGTCAAATCACGCGATATCAAACGAGATTTTATGAGAGTGGCTTCAAAAATGGATACCCAAGCGAACCAAAAATACATTAGACGAAACTTTTGTAGAAAAGCGGTAGATTTCTGAATTAATCGGTAGGCGGGAGTTTGAGTGAAAAAGCGGTAGACTCCCGTCTAAATCGGTAGAGTTAACATGTATGGTAAATTCACAATATCCGTGTTCGTACTAAGCGAGTTTTGCTGTAATGTCATTGTTTGAGGGGGAACAAATACAAAAACAAAATAATGTAATTTGAAAATTGTTTTCATTCAGTTACTGGCAAAACAGATTGGAATCAAACTTAGTCAGCTGATGAGATGGATTGTAAATTTCAAGGATCCAGACATTGAAGTGAGTAACACAGTGTTTGCAAAGTAATCATGTTAAATTGGATTGAAATTAACATTCACACTATAAAATGTAATGCAGAAAGATAGTTCATTTTCTCATTTCATTATACATGTAATTGTTCAAAATTTTCAAACTGATTTTTGTATTTTACTAGATTTGCATACAAGTGAATGATGTACATGTTAGTGTTGGCATTCCATTGACCAGGTATGTATTATATATTGCACATATTTACACACATCATGATTTTCACTGTTTTGTGAGGATACTATCAAAATTAATTTACCAGAATAATTTTTCTCTGCCTTTATATAAATTTCATTCAGCCTGCATGCACTAAATGTTATGCTGATGTTGCAAAAATATCTCCTTGAATAAAGAATGATTCCTGTACAATAACTTTTCATGCAAAGTTAACATTTAAACATATACAAATTTTAAATAAAGCATATAATATATGACTAGCCCCTTCTTCTGGTTGTTTAGAGTTCCATTATCTAAAAGAGATTATGTGAAATGTCATGGATTAAGGGGACCCGTCACATGGATCATGTCAAATTTGCTGGAAATCAAGGTATTTTTAACATGCTTTTAAAAAATTAATTAATGATGCACATGCATTTATTTTGATGAATATTAAATGACCATCTGTTGTTATAATTTACCCTTATTAAAGAATATATTTGTTTTTCATAGTTATATCTTCAATTCAGCATATTAATTATAATGTTTTTCCCCTCCTCAGAATCAAAGTGTAATTTTGGATCCCATGTGTGGAAAAGCCACTATTCTTCTTGAGGCAGCAAAACACATAGAGGTAAAAAATTCCAACATTCTATTTCTGTTTTTCCAACCCCTCTCAATACTCAGTAATACTACATAATGTTAAAGATTAGAATCTGTTATTCAATATGTGCCCTGTACATTCAGGGAATGTACAATTTTCCACAGTTTTACAAATAAATTAATTTCTTTAAAAATTCTTGCAGCAAACCTTTTATGGAGTGATCATGCATTTTAAGCCCCCTTTGAAGAAGGGAGGGCATATTGCTTTGCTGCTGTCTGTCCTTTGGTCGGTCTGTAAATCCACCATCTCTTTCCGTTCATTTTCTTCTCAGAGGTTGCACTTATTGAACTAAAATTTGATATACAGATTTATGATAAGAATATCTAGGTCAATTTTAGTTTTGGGAACGTTTGATCCATTTTGGAAAAAGTTATGGCCCTTGGATTTGAAAAATTCTAATAATTTGGGGGAGGGGGGCATAAGTGTTTTGGAAAAATCTCTTAATTAATTATAAATTTCAAAATGTATATTTCACCATCAGTGTAATTTTCTTCTTGTATAGTATATTTTGTGTAATTTTCAGGGAGTCTTTTGTATAGGTTGTGACATCAGTGATGATCAATTAAAATTGGCTCAGGAAAATATTGCCTTTGGGGAGGTACATGACAGACTACAGTTAATCAAGGCTGATTGTAGAGGTAAGAAAGGAATTTCTATTTCAGCAATTATACATGATGACAAGGGTTTTCAAAGGTCTTGGAAAAACTTGACTTTGTCTCAATATCCAAAAGTCTTCAAAATAATTCACAATAAACTCAGGAAATTTTTTGAAGGGGGGGAGCAATATCATTACCACTACCAAAAAAAATGTACATGTACCAGTCTCTAAACACTAACACACACACACACAATATAAAAGAAAGCATAAATTTAATTAAAAATTTAACAGACCCCCTCCCTTTTTTCAGCATTGCCTTTAACTAATGAGAGTGTGGATGGTATAGTCTGTGACACCCCATTTGGAAAGAAGTACAGTGTCAGAGAGTCATCGACTGCATTTCATGCTTCTTTACTCCAAGAAATGTACAGGTACTCTTACACAAATAATGTATAATTCTCATCATATGTTGCTCATAAAATAAATGTTAATATAAAACAAATTCAGATACAAAATATTTAACAAGGCTACTTCACAGGGTTTATTTTAACTATAATCATAAAAAATACACGACTCAGAGGTACATGCATGTTAATGTT